TCATATATTCTATTAAATAATGAAGTTTATGGATAAGATTTTGGGACTTTCAGTAGATCATATATATGTAGGGTATTCACCCTATTTCATCCAAAGGGATAAGGGCACTTGTAGTTAAATTTTCACGCAATGCTACGAGTAGACCTACGTTTCTGTGGAATTACACTTAGTCTGGCTTTCACTAAAGTTATTCTCATTCTGGATGGACTGCCGTTTTCACCTCATCAGTACCCTCAGCGAGACTTGAAGCATGAAAGTCCAGCGTATAATCTCGGCACGTTAACTGTTAAACCACATTGCCACGATTGCCCTTGGACCACAGGGCAAATGTGAATTTCATGATGGGCCAGGCATTTTCCCATATCATATTTTCTATTGTTTGAGGTAAAAACTGCAGCCCGATCTGGATGAAAATGCCTTTTTGGAAAGTAAAGCTATGTGCAATTCAACGGAAACGAAAGGTCTACTTATAGCACTGTGGGAAACTTAAACATCGATTTCTCTTGTTACCTTAAACGAAATAGGGTGAATACATCCTATTTATATTAACAACTGGTAGTCTCAACTGGTAGTAGCCTTGGGTCACAGGGCAGATGTAAATTTCAAGATGAGCCAGGCATTTTCCCATATCATATTCCATATTGTTTGAGGTGAAAACTGTAGCCCGATCTGGATGAAAATGCCATTTTGGAAAGTATAGCTATGTGAAATTCACATATAGACCAAAAATATGTAATGTGGTCGATTGCTATAACAAACACAATTTTGCTTTGTCAACAATCCCACTATAAAAAATAATATGGGAATGTGCCTGGCCTTCTTTAAAATTCACATTTACCCAGTGACCCAGGGGCATTCGTGACAGCATGGTCTAGTAGTTAATGTATTGATATTATATGCTGCACAGTCTTCATTCGAGTCTCGCAAGGAGTGCTGATGAGACTTAGGCGAGGTTGAAACTAAATTCCACTCTAGCTTGGATGAGAATACCTTTCGGGAAAGCAAGGCTATGTGAAATTTAACTGATACTTATAGTCTACTCATATCATTGTGACAAAATTAAAATACAATTCCCCTTATTTCCCTAAACGAAATAGGGTGAATACACATTAAATAATGAAATCCGAATTTGGTATTCAAGCATCCAATAGTTATGGATAAAAGATTTTGCGTTGCTTTAAATGTATAATATGCAATCGAATATATGAAGTCTAAATTGTCCTCATCTTTAATATGCTCCTATCCTCCCAGTCAAAGATCCGTTTTGAAACGATTGCCCAAGTACAATAGCAAAAGAAACACTACCAGTACACGTTGTCTTTAGTCTATCTACTAAAACGGGTAAGTTGAGTAAACGAGGTCAGCCAAACTATTGATATGCTAATCTTCAGTGATAGATGTTGATGAGAAGAATATATCCCTCTCAATCAGATTCCATGAATGGGAGCAGCTGTCTTCCTAGCAAACTTGACAGCAATGCAAAATGGGGACATCTGGCAGTAGTCACAATTATGAACTTCCCATCAACCAACCTAGGTTTTAAATGAGTAAACTTTGCCCCATCGAGCTGACTATGGATTGTGTGGCCGAATAATTTGCCATACCTTACTTTTTGGTAGTTGTGTAATTGACGAAAGATGACGATAAAAAAGTACACAGAATTTTAGTTATAGGATGAAGATTCCTCTGAATAATTTGTCCAAAGCTTTGCTCAAAGCAGAATCCGATATGAAGAAGTATGTCTAGTGGACTCGAAATTAATGTGATTGCTTGTAAGTGGAAACGAATGCAAATAACTTACACCCAAAAAATATTCTGTATAACATAATAGACATTTTTTTCGAAAATAACTTGTTCGATAATACACTCTTAAAGAAACTCTTTATGTCTCTCCATTCAGCTTTTCAATAATATTTGAAAAAAGGTAGGAATGTCTAGTGGAACCTTATTTTATTTGGCTTTAAATGGAATTGTATTTTCAAATATGAGATGCATTCACCCTATAGCTATTAAGGTGATGAAGGACTGGTAGTTAATGCGGCGTAGGGGTTAATGTGTCGAGATTACATGCTGCTCCGTCATGCTTCGAGTCCTGCATGCGGTGTTGATAAGACTTGGGCTAGCTCGAACCTGCAGTCCACCCTGGATGAGAAGTTCTTTTGTGAAAGCAAGTCTATGTGAAATTCATTGGAAGCATCAGCTCGACTCAGATAATTGTGGAAAAATTCAACTACCAGTCCTTCATCACCTTACACGAATTAGAGTGAATACATCTTATGGGACTGATTTACTGGCAGTTTCTAAATCTTACTTATGAACTAAAAGTAGTTTTTCAAATATTGTCTTACTACTCACTTTGAAAGTTCGGCAAGATTATTCCCTATTAGGCTCTTTTTTGGTATCCTCTTGTCCTAGAGATCACTTGTCTCAGGCATTTATCTTGGCTCAGCGGCCTCGAGTGAGTTCAATCAAATAAAAAGAGAATGGGTATAACTAAAACCATAGCAAGTATATTTTAAATCGTTTGCATAATTGGGTAATGTTTAAAAGAGAACTTTATAATTCTTGTTTCTTGCAGCTTCCCCCGCTATTGCATACGTGCATTCGGTATCTTAACTTTGCACACACAAGGACATATATTTCCAAATGAAAACCTGAGAAGGTTCGTTTAAATCTTCTTGTAAACTAAGTAGACAGGAAAACGAAGCAGAACCAACACTATCCATTATTAACGCCTCTAATCCTCTAGCAATTCTTATAGTCGTTTATGATCCAAAGGAGGATAAAACTATTTTTCTACCTTTCCATACAAATGTCGCGATTTTTCCCATCAGGTAAACTTCAGGATTCGAGAGGCCATCGGAACCAGAAGCTCGGGCTCAGAAGTGCTCAAATCATTTGTTAAGCCGCGGTCTATGGCATCAAGTCTGCTACCTATTGCAGTTCCGAGTACACGAATGCCGTCACCAGAAATTCGGCTCAGCGCCAACAGGCCAGATTGGCGGCAAGACAGAATGAGGGCGTCTTCAGCCGGTCAGGAGCACTTACCGCTGGGGCCAGAAGCTCGCGACCAATCCACGTGGAGAGAAGGCATAAGGTCTGGGGATCACAATTTGAGGCCAGTTCAGGCAGCTCTCCACGAATCTTCAGAGCGATTGGCCAAATTGCGTCGCGAAAATGCCCGACTGAGTCTTGAGACTGCCAGACTACAGCAAAAACTTACGGTGCGCCGACACCGGCTGGAAAATGTGGTGAGTGGTTCTAGGAGCGGGAAGGGTTTTGAGGGGATAAAGGAAGCAGGAGAGTTATGTTGTTTCCACGATTCTGCTTGGCTAAAGGGCTTTTGTTCTGGTTCGATCCTTGGATCACTTACAAAGTGAACAGGCTTGCAGCAATGAATATGGGCGAAATCTTGTTTGGAATAAAGACGACCTTCGAGTTTTCACTTTAAATTTAATTATATATTTACTGTTACCACTAATAATGCTTGCCAATTCGTCAGTTGAGCTGCATAGGCTTGGTTGCACTTGGGATAGTTCCGGGATCACATTCACTGCATTTCTACTAGCTGTTGCAGCCTTAGCATGCTAGTGAGACATGCCTAAATCTGATAATAATGCCCTCAAAACTTGAAATATTGCAGATAAATATGACATATTTGAGTAAGATTTATCCTCCTTTCTGAGCCAAAAAATGAGTAATTCTCTGCATCATCTTTTAAAGGGAAAATATCAGAAATTTTTTTAAACTAAATAAAATAGCCGGTAGCCCATTCACGAAACAATATACTTTGGAAATAATAAAGAAATAAGGGGAGATAAGAATTAAGCTGTTAAAGAGGACTCAACCTGAGATTCGTAATTCAGTCGTCTTCTCAGGGCGACTTCTAAATACGTTTCACATACTTAGTCGTCTGCCATTGTTGTGATTGGTTCGCATAGAAGTCCTCTGCTATAGTAGTAATGACAATTCCAGCCTAGGACCGTGGACTCGGTAGATTTCCTAACATTTCGCAGGTATCGTAGTCGGCATCGTCAGTGAACGACTTAAAGAGTACGTACTTTGATGTCTCCCTACCTGCAAAATAGGTTACGAAAACGAGGTCAAGCAAGCTTTTAATTGGAAAAGGAGACTACAATCAAATCAAACGCCACACCATTTGCATCTTCGTATTCACAAAGCTGATAAGCCTTGCTATCTTTTCGACAATAATACTGATCAAAAGCATGCGTTTTATAGTCATACCATTGTCAAAGCTGGAATTATAGTCTTCATATCTACAAATTCTTCTTTGGCTGCGAGTAAAGCAGAGCCGACTATTCTTCTTGACTTGGTGA